CAATTAGTCATAAATCAGACTGCCACGAAGAGCATATCATAAAATCTGATCCATCGATTAACGGTAAAGAGAATTAGCTTTAATATTAAACAAAGATAAAATACGATTATCACTAATTAGAGTCTAATTAGGTTGTTCTAAATAAAAAATCTATTCCAAAATCATCAAGAAATATAAGTTTAAGGTGAAAAGATATATGATTGCATTTACAATTTACAGTATTATTGATATCTAAATGGTTAAAGTTCCTTCTTCTCATAGCATTTTATTGAATACTAGGACCAACAAGTATTGCAGCTTCTCAATAGCATTCTAATGCACGTTTTATTAAGATATTAAACATAAGGTTTTATGATTAATTTTAATATATATTATTTTGTTGAAGAATATAAAACAACTCTTATTAACAGTTAATTCTATTTGATGATAAAAAAAATTAAAGGACTAATACGTAGTCGAAAACTTATAGAAACCAAAGTTACACTTTTTCAAAACTAAAATAGACAAAAAGATAGATTTAAGCTTAAGAAATAATTATATAACAGATAATTATTTCAAATAATTCCTATGTAAGCGTATGACTATTTTTTTATGTTAATGAAAATTGTTTTAAAAATAATGAAGGTTAAAGCTTTAAGTTTTGTTTAATATACATATAAATTATGATTTTATATATTTGGTTTCGTTTTATAAATTTTATTATGATATAGCAATATGATTCGATTAGATTTTTGTTTAGAGTAAATTTTCTTTTAATTTATATAAAACTATTTTGTTTTCCATTTTGAATATAAGGATTTTATGACTTGCATGTTAGATTTGAGTGAATTAAATAAATATTTAATAATATAATTTAGGTTTAAATCTTGGTTTGGTTCTCGTATTTGTATGTCAATATCAAGTGGATCATTGTTTTTTTTTCAGTCTCAACCGGGTTCATAAACTTGTAAAAATAGTCAATTAAGCCCTCTTCGTTAAGTTTTTATTAACGCCGTTACACGTGACAATGTCCTCCCTTCTCTTTTTCTCGCGTGAGAGAGGAGCTCTCTCGTTCCTCAGTCAATCCCGTCTTGAAATAATCCGAAGATGATTATGACGCCTCACCATGCCATCAGAAGGCATCAAATCACCTGTCATTAGCTTCAGTAGTGTACTCTTCCCAGCCCCATTGGATCCAACCAGTGCGACCCTAGAATCTAAATCAACCGCCGCCACCATCACCAGCACCGCCACCACCTTCGTCATCGCGATCAAAGACCTTGACAAATGGGTTATTGGCATTTGCTATTATCGGTTCTGTGGCAGCTTATGCTGGAATATGCACTATAGTTTATTGCTTGTGGAATGGAGTTTGTTTCGGGAAGAAAAAAGTTCACAATTCTATGCAGCCTACAATCACAAGAGGTAGCAGTGGTTCAAACGGTGGGGGTGCTTCTAATAATAGCAATTCTTAAATATCGTCTATGATTATGCGTCAGACTTCAATGATAATGAGACGCCAAAGGAGTGGAACGTCATCAACAAAGCACCCATACAAGGCTGAGGAGTTCACCCTGGCCGAGCTTGTGGCAGCCACCCACAATTTCTCACAAGAAAACAAGATCGGAGCTGGAAGCTTTGGTGTTGTTTACAAAGGCAAACTCACGGATGGACGCAAGGTGGCAATCAAGAGGGGTGAAACTGGTTCCAAGATGAAGAAGTTTCAAGATAAGGAAAGTGCATTCGAGTCTGAATTGGCCTTCTTGTCTCGCCTACACCACAAGCACTTGGTTGGACTGGTTTACCAACATCAGTAAAACGGAAAACCAAAACCTTGTCCCCGACTACTTTTTCTGCAAGTCCACCACGTTCCATTTTTTCCAATGTTTTCTCCTTACCCTGTGCCTAGAGAGCAAGTTTTGCAGAACGATGACCAAATCGAGCAATATATTCCTTCATTGAGGCAATCTGCTCCTCCTCCCTTAAAAGGAAAAAGAAAGAAGAAATCTGTTTGTTTCCAATCCCTTAAACCCTAGCAAATATTTCAAATTGAATGATGAATTCACTTATGGAGTTCTCCTGCTTCAGAGCCAACAACGATTCAAAAGGCATCGGAGGGAGGAAGAGAGACATTGTTGAGTCGCTCGAGTACCAAAATCAGAGCCTGAGTACCCAAATATCCTTCACCATGAGCCTTAAGCACAAATAAAGCTGTTGAGCAAGAGCCAAACCAGGCAAAGCAATCCCCATATTCTGACAAATCCCCAAATCTTTAACAAAGTGGTTCACGAAAAACCCCGCTTCAAAATCCCCATATTCTGACTTCGAACCGGCTGCGCCGGTGGAAATCGCCTCCAGGTACAACCCTACATCCAACCCCGCCTTGTGCGCTACACCATTCCCTCCACCAGCCCCACCATCGTCGACGCTATCGTCACCTGATTCGCCAATTTCGCGAATTGCCCCTTCCCACTCCCTTCCAAGTAGTTGACTTTCCCCATCACTGAAAACAAGGGTTCCAGATTCTTCACTGTCGATTCCTCCCGCCGGCGAAAATCGCTAGGGTTCCGTTCTTCGCGCCTAGGTCACCGCCGGAGACGGGGGCGTCGACAGAGTGACAGCTTTTGCCTACGGCTGGTTGCTCCTGCTGTTGTTCACTTTCAGTCTTGGAAGGTTTACAGCAGTTAATAAGTAAATTGGGCACCAGCTCCTTCTCTAGAGAGGACATGTACACTGAGACAACAACATTGAGAAAAATCAGATGATAAAATTCTTCAACTGGTTCATGTTCTTCATAAGCTTGGGGACTCTGACAGTAGTTGCCGTTCTGGTGTACATTCAAGATCACATAGGGAGGTATTGGGGTTATGGGGTTTCTGCTTATTCTGTCATTCAGTATTCCCCTATAACTATGTGATTCTACGAACATAGGAAAGAAACACCAGGAGGGACCGACTACCTCCAGCGATAAGGAGACGGCGGTTGTCGGAATCAGGACCTAAAGGGATCGACGACGCGACAGCGATGGTGGATTAATAAGTGGATTAATTGAGTCGCAGAAGAAGGAACTAATTAAGTTTTCAGTTTTACACAAACAAACATCAAAACCGGCATCCTTTAATAGCTCATTTAAAATGGTATTTAAAATGGTAGGTGTCATAAAATTAAATAATATAACATAAAGACCACGTCATATAACACTTATACAAAACATAATAATAAGTTAAATAACAAATTCCACGTAATATAACATGTAAACAAAATTAGACAGCGTCAGTAATAAATTAACGGAGAGAGTTTAATTAGCTCATTTTTACAAGTTTATGGACCCGATTGAGACAAAAAAAAAACGATGACCAAACTAGGGTTTAAACCTATAATTTAATATTGATAGTTGATGAGTATGGAAATAAGTGTTCTAATATAGGTGGGGGAGCTTGGTTAATTTTGGATCCCTTTTTTTACAAATATAAATTAATATATAACTATATATTTTTTAAAATTTTAATATATTTTATATATTTAGTATTTCTAATATTTTTGTATATCTATTTTGACATTCTCAAATGTGTTGATTTTACAATACATTAGACAAAAAAAAATATTGAACTGTTTATATAAAATAGCTGATTTGATTAAGTGAAATTTAAATGTTATATGTAAAAGTGAAGTATAGATAATTTAAGATATGAATTTAAAAATTCAAAAAGATAATATAGTTAAATGTTTATTTCAAATTTGAGTTCGATTGATAATTTAATTTAAATATTTTTTGATGTTAAATTTGGTTATTTGTTGGTATTCACTTTAAAAATAATGTTTTAGGGGTTAAATATTTTAGCTTTTTGAGAATTTTGTTCAAGTGTTAATTGGTTGCTTAAATAAAAGTGTGAGCAATATTTATCTTTCTTTTTAGCGGGATTTCTTCTCAAAGGACATAATGGTCACTCAAATGAGAATGTGAGTAAAATAATTATATTTTCATTTTTCACTCAAGCGATACATTAACTATTCAAGAAAAATTAAAGAGATATTCTTAACTTCAAGCAAAAATGACTTGCTCAGATGATGTTTTCTTCGGTGTTTTTTTTATTATATAATAAAGTAAATTGAATGAATTATACTTATCCATGTATCTTATTGATTATATATCTAATTTTTTATATTTTGTGAATAAGACGTAATATATGATTATATACTGCGCGACTTATATTTGTATGTGATATATCTAGTATAATATTGTGGTCCCTTTGCGTGTGTGCTGTATTTTATGTGTATTGTAAGGATAATTTAGATGATATTGTATATTATTGAGCACAAAATTTGTTAAGAAAGCAAAATATTTGACTTTGTTATAAAAGATGTTAAGCCTTGAGAAATTAAAGTAGATTATTATATCCATTCTTATTATAATAAATGCAACTAGTTATCTAGATATAAAATTCCAACATCAGTTTTATCAATGAAAATTATAATAAATCATATATTAATCTTTGTTGAAAGATACTCAGTATAAAATATTGAATGAAAAAGTTGATATTCAATGACCAATATGTAGTGGAAGAGTGTAAATTTGGTTGAAAGTGACGATAGTTATTTATCATGTATGTAGATGTTTTATACGCATAGTATATATACAACATCAAGGTTAATTTAATTAATTAAAAAGTATAGTTGATTTAATTTATTAAAAATCGTAAATGTAACATACGGAAGACAATCTAAAAATGATATATTTTTATAAAAGTAATGTAATAAATTAAAGTCATGACACACGTATCAACCTATTAATTAAAATCTCGAATAGTTAGGCTAAAATACGACCATTGACAAATGGGTTTCACGGTTTTCGTACACTACACTAGTGGTTATGGTTTCTCCCATGTTTTACTTGTATACGTTCTATCTTCAGAGACAAAGGAGAACGTGAAAACAGAGTATAAAAGACGTGTGTTTTTTTGCATTGATCTGCGAAGAAAGTAAGAGAAAGATGTAAAATGTTTTTTTTTGTATTGGTCAAACTATCAATCCTTTTCATAGTCCTAATTTTGATTGTAATGTTTTTCCCAGCAAAGGAAAATATCTTCGTTTATAAAAGGGCAACGGTTCTAGGTACCATAGCAACTCAGACAAACAGGTTACTCAGTAACTCTGTCTCTGCCTCTCTGTCAATACTCACATAAATGGCCTCAGCTTCTTCTTCTCCAAAGTTTACAGTGCGAAGGTGCCAACCCCAGTTGGTAGTTCCTGCTGTCCCCACTCCTCACGAAGTTAAGCCACTTTCCGACATTGATGATCAAGAAGCCCTGCGTTTCCACGTTCCCTTCATACAAATTTATCCAAAGCAAGCATCAATGGCAGAGAAAGACCCAGTTCAAGTCATTCGCCAAGCACTCTCGCAAACACTTGTCTTCTATTACCCATTTGCGGGTAGGCTTAGGGAGGGGCCTCACCGCAAATTGATGGTGGATTGCACCGGAGAAGGTGCCATGTTCGTTGAGGCCGATGCTGACGTCACACTCGAGCAGTTCGGGGATTCTCTCCAGCCTCCATTCCCATGCTTCCATGATCTGCTATACCATGTTCCTGCCTCACAGCAAATTACCAACACTCCCCTTCTACTCGTACAGGTAATGGAATTTTTATGTGAATTCTTCCTAACTATTTATCTTTGTCTATAGTTTGTTGATGTCGGAAATGAACTGATGAAATCACAGGTGACACGCCTTAGATGCGGTGGTTTCATCTTGGCCTTCTGCTTCAACCACATCATGTGTGACGGAGCTGGTCTTTCACAATTCATGAGCACGTGGGTTGAAATGGCTCGTGGTGCGACAAAACCTTCCATTCCACCAGTTTGGCGAAGGGAGCTTCTAATGGCAAGACATCCACCTCGCATCACATGCAACCATCGCGAGTACGAACATGTCCCAGACACAGTCAAAGGAACCCACGCATCAAACGATCATGACATGGTTCTTCGGTCGTTCTTCTTTGGACCTTCCCAAATTGCTGCTATTCGTGGCTTGGTTCCGCCCCACCTTCAGCACTGCACAACGTTTGATCTCATCACAGCATGTATCTGGCGCTGTCGTACAAAAGCATTGCAGATAAAGGCAGACGAGGATGTTCGCATGATGGTGATAGTGAATGGACGCGGAAGATTGAATCCTCCTTTACCAGTTGGCTACTACGGCAATGCTATTGCATACCCTGCAGCAGTTACGACTGCAGGGAAGCTTTGTGAAAATCCGGTAGGGTACGCAGTGGAGTTAATAAAGAAATTGAAAGGTGAGGTGACAGAAGAGTACATGCATTCGGTGGCAGATTTGATGGTGATTAAAGATCGGTGCATGATTACAACTGTAAGGTCTTGTATCATTTCAGATTTGACACGTTTGAAGCTTAGAGAAGCGGATTTTGGGTGGGGTGAGGCTGTGTACGGTGGAGTGGCTGAAGGTGGAGCTGGGAGCTTTGTTGAAGCAACGTATCAGGTTTTGCATAGGAATGCAAAAGGAGAAGAAGGCATCGTCTTACCAATTTGGTTGCCTGCTAAAGCTATGGATAGGTTTGCGAAAGAGTTGGATGCCATGTTTGGCAACCAAAACCAATCTAATACCGGTAGTCCTAGTTTAAGAATGTCTACCTTATAGTTCATGTCGGAAGTCTCAAATATTCCAAACACTTTTAAAAATAAAGACCGAATTGATATTATCCAACGAAAATGAAGAAAAAAAAATATTAAACCTTAAAATTTATGTTTTATTAAGTTTCTCCAATTCTAACTTTTGTCGATTACTTTACTCATTCTCTTTAGTGAACTTCAAATAATATGATTCTTTTTTTATTAAAAGATAGGCTCAATATATTTTCTTTTGACATCAAACTTGTAATTTTTAGAGCACTGTGTTAGTTGCAGCAAAAATTTTAAAATCAACGTTTTGTTATTATACACTTGAATAGGTTTGCCTTAGTTATACCATTTCATATGGAGGAAAAATCTGATACATAATTGGACATGCATGATCCATCACATGAACAAGAAGTAAAATTAATAAACTAAGTCAAGCTTTACAAGTCTAAACGTTGAATGAATTAAAAAGTAATTGGACAGCTTCACAGCTAAAAAAATCAGAACCAAAATATGGAAGACATATGAAACCGGCAACAAGAATTGGGAGTTACAAAGAGGGATATGTTATCTGGAAAGTTTCATCATGATGCAAGCAAATTAAAAATTATTAGATAATAGGAGTACAGCTGTAAAGCTTAAATCATAAGATTTTACACGTTAATTTCAAATCAGAAGAAGAATGAGACTACAACAAGTTTTTTTTTTCTTTAAATCTGATATAGAATCCACTTTGAACTTTGTCAACGTTTAAATTTTGTCAATAAAAAATGTATTGAAATGATACAGCTAAAAGTAGAGGAATGAAAGGAGTAGTACTAGGTGTCATGGCAAGAAGGAAAACAATAAAGAAATAGAGCAAAAGAATTTGAGAATCTGTCAGAAAGTGCACGGTCTTACAGAGAAAAGTATACTGATGGAATAAAACAAGAAAAATATTCTTTCATCTGTCTAAATTTTTTATTGCTGTTTTTTATTTTTTTATTTTTTTATTGAATTAAATATGTTTTTTTCCTTAATTTTAAGAAAAAATTAGAATTAGTTTTTTTTTCAAAACTTTGACCTAATTTAATTTTTAAACTTTAGAAATATGTAAATTTAGTCAATTTAACTAAATTTTGTTAGATTTATTTGATATTTTAAGTACGTTTCATGATAACATTTGAGTTGTTTACATCATTTGATATATTTTTGCTTCAATGTTAACTGATAAATGTATTTGAAACATAAAATAAAATTAACAAAATTTAGTTAAAAGAATTAAATTCACACATTTATAAAGTTTAGGGACTAAATTGGTCTAAAATTTAAAGAGAAACTAATTTCAATTTTCAATGAAAGTTAAGAAACCAAAAACATATTTAACCATTTTTTATTCTATCTTTCTTGAAAAAATATAAAAATTTACGCTTTTACAACTATTATATATATATATATATATATATATATATATATATATTATAATTATTTTATTCTTTTATTTTGTATAAAATGAATGTAAGAATATGTACTATTATTTATAAAATAAATTAAATAATGCACTGCATGACAGTGGTGATCACGAAGAGTACAATCCAGTAGCATTGAATGCAAAAAAAATGGTTTTATGGAACATGATCCATGTGAAGAGGGAATAATTCATAAGAAAATTTTTCCACTCCTGAAATGCGTCAGGCTTTATTATTTGAAAGCCATAAGATAACATAGAGTTACTTCCTCCACGACCATCACTCCATGCCTAATTTGCTTTTCTATAAAACAAATGTCAACATCCGAATGTTAACATCCGTAAACGGAAACATTCGTTTACATATTTTATATTTTAGTTTATTGTTTTTACTTTAAAACAAAAAAAAAAACTTCAACCAAGGTGCCACATCCGTTTAATAGATTTTTAAAAAGTATTTTATTTATTATTTAAATAATAATATATAAATTAAATTAATAATAATTATTTTATTAAATAAAATAAATTTAATTTATAAATAATTAAGTAATAATTAAAAAAAATTAAATAATATTTATTTATTAATTTAAAATATAAAAAATTTAAAAATTAAAAACTAAAAAAAAACTAATTCAACGGATGTCACCACGTCCGAATCTGCCACATCTGTTTAGTAGATTTATAACAAAATTTTTAATTATTATTTAAATAATAATACATAAATTAAAATTAATAATAATTATTTTATTAAATAAAATAAAATTAATTTATAAATAATTAAGTAATAATTTTAAAATAATTAAATAATATTTATATATTAATTTAAAATACAAAAATTTAAAAAACTAAAAACTAAAAAAAAAAA